ATATAACAGTGCATGCACTGCTGACTCCTCACACGTTCGTAAGGGGCTGATATCTCTGAGGGCCGTGTGGATCACTTCCTCATGAGCCGCTCCATTAAACACATTACAGCTACTACGTCTCTGCAGCGCTCATCTTTATTTATTTATCTCCTCTCTTCTTTTATAGGAAGAGTGAAGTATAGAGCTTCAAGACAACATTTGGTCTGTGAATTATGTTTTGGGTACAGCAAAGTTGGCAATCAGGAAAAATAAGGTACTGGGGATGGATGGTGAAAGATATCATAACTTTTAGAGAAAATTGGTGCTTAGGGGAACTGTTCTGTTTTATTTATGTTTTTTAATAAAAAAAAAATATATATTTTATATTATATTATATATATATACATGTGACACTGAAAACTGGAGTAATGATGCTGAAATTTCAGCTTCGCGTCAGAAATAAATTACATTTTTAAAATATATTCAAATAGAAAACAGATATTTTAAATTGTAAAAATATTTCACAATATTAGTGTTTTTACTGCATTTTTGCAAACGCAGCCTTGAAGAGCATTTAAGCAAAAACATTTAAAAATCGTACCAACCCCAAATTTTAGAACTATAGTGCATTTAATGGTAAATACAGCTTTAATAGAGCAAATAACCTCTCCACCCTATTTATCTTCGCCACTTTATGTATTTATAAATGTCTGTCAGTATTACTGCTGATCTCTCCAATCTTTCATGTGCATGTTCTCATCTGCTGTGTCATAATGAACACGTGGTTATATTTTTCTGCCATCATCATACCATTCAAGAACATCTCATAAACACATCCATCATATTTATCCTACTCCTCTCTTCTTTTATAGGAAGAGTGAAGTATAGAGCTTCAAGACAACATTTGGTCTGTGAATTATGTTTTGGGTACAGCAAAGTTGGCAATCAGGAAAAATAAGGTACTGGGGATGGATGGTGAAAGATATCATAACTTTTAGAGAAAATTGGTGCTTAGGGGAACTGTTCTGTTTTATTTATGTTTTTTAATAAAAAAAAAATATATATTTTATATTATATTATATATATATAATTTATCTTCGCCACTTTATGTATTTATAAATGTCTGTCAGTATTACTGCTGATCTCTCCAATCTTTCATGTGCATGTTCTCATCTGCTGTGTCATAATGAACACGTGGTTATATTTTTCTGCCATCATCATACCATTCAAGAACATCTCATAAACACATCCATCATATTTATCCTAACAAAGAGGATGCTGGAGCCAATCACTCCATGTTGAACATGTGTGTGTGTGTGTGTGTTTGCCTCCCTCACAGCTGAATGATTGCCTGTTTGATGGGTCCGTTTCTCCTTCTTTCTGTTTATCTAAGCAAATGGACGCTGTGTAATCCAGCATTTACTTTGTAAGCGGTGTTCTGTTATCTCGAAACCCACCAAACTATCCGTGGTATGCTGTCGATTACTGCCAGATAACTTGGACTGATTTCTCAGTTTGTAAAAATGAACAAAAATTGTGTTTAAAGTAATGCATTTACTATGGAAATCTATAGGACAAGTAATACACAGTATTGCCATGCAAATACAAAAGTTCTGTCATTATTTACTCACTTTTATATTGTTTCATAATTGTAAACCCAGTAACTTTAGTATGATATGAGAAAGGAAATGTCCAATCAGAAATGGACATATTGCAAAATGTTCATAAGTGTACATTTATCCACCTATAACAGAATTCCCACTGCTAAAGGATGGTTTAGACCACTTACATTATATTTTAGAAGAGGAATTAACCTAAAACACATTTCTGCTTTTAAACTCTCCTTTGAACTGTCTTGCCCCACTTCCATTGCAAGTGCATTGCTGTAAACACAATTCAAAGTCAAAATTATTTTCTGTGGTCATCAACATGCTGTTGATAGAGCATAACATGTATTGAACCCGAAACCTTCCTTTAATGCTTATGAAATGTCAATAAGTCATTCTTGAAGCACAAAGAGGCCACAGAAACACACACAAGAGACCTTCCAGTCGCTAATACTATAGCAATTTCAACATCTCGATCTGCGCGCACTGGTCTGATGGCCAACGGAAATATTCCTATTTAGACAAGTTCAAATGTCTTTTTCCTTGAACCGTGTTCAATCTGTGTATAAGTGTGTGAGTGATATCCTCAGAGAAATGGAAGATTAACGCTATAACAGTGGCCTCCTATCTGCCAAAGTGCGTCATTCTTTCTTCTCTCCCGCTGTACTCTCCACTGCATGGATGCAGGAATGAAATAAACGAAGCAGGGGGGACGCCGCACAGTTAGCCGGGATCAGTCAGAAATTTGGGTCGGATTCCAATAAACACACATCACACGGTGTATAGTAGGTCGTAAAATAACGAGCAAACACATGGTAAACTATATTAGGTTTCATTGAGTTCTGTAGGTTTGAGCTCAAGTGAGCAAACATTCACACGCACAAGTGCATATGAGTGAGAGGATGTTTTTCATTAAATTCCTGTAATTCAACTGTGGCTTAGTTGTGTCTTAGTCCAATTATTTATTTATTTATCAGAGAGATTTGGCCTGAAAACATCTTCAGCAGTGGAAATGGCAATGTTTAGAGGTAAAGGTACAAAATAGGGACTGAACTTCAAAAAAATGTCAAAAAGTAATTCAACAGTATTTTTAAAAATTAATATATATTCAAATATTTTTTATTGAAATCAATTCAAGTTAAAAGATTACAACAAAATTATAACAAAAACAAATTCAAAATATTCTATTCAAATATGTATGTGTGTGTGTGTGTATATATATATATATATATATATATGTGTCACTTTCAATAATCCAATCATTTTGTTACCAGAAATGAACTGATTTCAATATTTGTATGTATTAAATTAAATATAAAAAAATTATATTTATATTATTTTACAATATTTTGTAATATTTAAAAATTAATTATTTGTTTAAATTAAAAAAAATTATAAAAATAAAAGTATAAACATACGTTCAGCAAATAAAAAAAAAAATAATGAAATAAAGTTAATTAATTAATTAAATTAATAAAAAACAGCAATACCAAAAGGGGTAACAGGTTAACAGTTTTTTTTCCAGACAAAATTTTAGTGGGATCAGTGTTTTTTACTTTGCACACTGTCTCAACTAGCCTGACACATCCACACTGGCTCAACCAATGGCATAAGTTGGGGGCGGGGCTATCTGTTTGCTGACCAATGGCAGAGGGGGGAAGTGATCATGAAACCTGTTTGGGGTCCATCAGAAGCAAATATGTTTATTTTGCTGTTTTAATCTAATTTTCTGTGACGCAACTTTTGGCAGTCAGATCAAGTAGTGAGTCAAGACAGAGATTAAAAAAAATGGAAGGTCAAGTGCATTTTGGGATACAGTTTTTCATGCAAAATCCTCAGATTGTATATTATATTTTGTGGGGAAAAAAATGTAGATCATCACACACACACACACACACACACACACACACACACACACACACACAAAACCCATACAGTGCACATCCATACGCATACTGCATAAATAGCATGTGTAGTATGCCATTCTAAATATTTCCATTCATATTCTGCCAGAAGTCAGAGGGCTGTACTGGCCCTATATGGTTCACAAGAGGCAAATGTCCCCTGATTCCAGAGAGAGAGAGTGTGAGAAAGACAGCTGACCTTTCAGTTCACCCGGGGCAGGTAAGACTCTGATAGAAGCGGACACCTGCGCAAGAGCCGAGTTTCAAATGCCAGAACAGGGTGTTTGATGGGTAGGAACGTCTGCAGCTCCCTGAAGATGATAGTACACACTAAGGAAAAAACACAAACAACATGACGTTGGTTTCATTGCCATGTGTTAGTTAGAAAGCCCTTCAAAAACGAAAGCACACATACACAGCTAGTTTTGTATCATGCATTCTTAAAATAACTGAATGAATGTAATTTTTAGGGGTCAGATCATGAGATAATAGCGCTTGATGCACAATAAAATCACACTGCAACTCTTAGAACTCAAAACTTTCTCCTCTGTCCAACAAGAGCATTTACTGAACTATGGCAAAAATGACTCATCTAAACTTTTTCACAATTTCCTGACGTCACACAGATAAATGCATGTTGCTCTCCGAGCAGAAAAACTCGAGACCGGCGATTAGAGCTGTCACTCATTTCATGCACAAAGGGGGCGTTTCTTAAACAGAATGATAAGAGAGAGAGAGTAAAAAATGGTCACAAAACAGAAAAAAAAAAAAAATACAAATGCATGATATGACTGCATGTTTTTTATCTTCATATTGTGGCTTTGTCCTTCCATTGACTTCTGTTGTTCCTAAATTGTGCTTATTATAATTACTACACCCTAAAACTAATACAGAAACCATTTGGCTTTTGAGACATTATTTAGTTCCCTCATGAGGCTGTTTTCAAGAAACCCTCATGCATGCACCCAAACGCTTTGCTCGTTCTGATAGTTTTGACCCGAGGTGACCTTTAAGCTGAGAGCAAATAGGTTTAAGAGTAGTGAATATCTGTTTTAGTGAGGTGAAACACTCTTATTCGGTTCACCTGACACAGTTGGTTCACTGTAGGTGTGAGAAAATAACACCAGTCTGAGACAATTAGTGGACAGCAATATTAATATGCAAGTGAAAAGTTCAGCTGCCTCATTATATTATAATGAATAAATGTTATAAAAGGTTAGTTTACTCAAAAGTAAAAAATTCTGACATTATTTACTCACCTTCATGTTGTTCCATTCTGGTGTGACTTTCTTTTTTTCTGTATAACAAAAAGCTACATTTTAATTTGAACAGAAGGAAGCAATTCATATGTCTGAAATGACATGATGATGAGTAATGGACAGAATTTTCTTTTTTAGTTTAACTATTCCTTTGAAACACCCAATTATACCCCACTGACTGGCTGTATTCATTACTTCAGTCAGACCACCTCACCTTTCTCCCACTGCAGTGAAATTCCTCAAATTTTTTCTGAGCTGAGAAACAGGAGAGCACATCTTCACTAGACATAAGGATAAGAAGTCATTCTCAAAGAAATAAAATAAAACATATGGGTATGTTTAGTTGGTCCTATATGTGCACAGGGCTTTTTTATGGTGTTTTAAGCTGCGAGGGTGGTTTAATATTAAATCCTTGGGAATATATATATATATATATATATATATATATATATATATAAATTACAAATGATGAATATTGCAGTCAGTAATATATTGAAGATTACTCATTTTAGGTAGTGTATTCTGAGTACTTTTGAGTATCAATGAATTATGAATAATTTACTGCCATTGTGTAAATAATGTAATCCATAAAATGTAACTGTAATCTGATTATCAACATTTTAAAATAATATAAAACGTAAATTAGTTTTAAATACTACATTTTAAATACAGTTTTTTAGATACTACATTTTTATTTGTAATCCAGATTACATGTAATCAGTTACTACCCAGAACTATTTTACACACACACACACACACACACACACACACACACACACACACACACACACACACACACACACACACAACAAACACACACACGCATTTACAATTATTTAAAAACAACTCTAGTTTTATTGTCTTTTTAAAAAATATTATTCATTTAATACCAGTATGTATTCAAATAGTGACTAGAAAATTGCTCACTGCATATTCATAAGATACTAGTATTTAGATACTAGTACCTATTTATGAGACACTATGGCGAATCTCAGTTGTTATTAGTAACATTTCTTATCTCAGCCTTCTACAATAGCCCTTTTGGCTTCGTGGATTTAATCATTCCATTAGTATAACTGAACATTTTACTTCAAAGTCTATTTTTACTAGTCTATTCAAATATAAGTAGAATAAGCACTAAGCATCTGTCATGCCCTCTCTCTCTTTCTCTCTCTCTCTCTCGGACTCACATCAATTGATCCATACAGGCAGCCCCCCCCCCCCTCCTCTATTTATGTGAGGGGGTATAAAAGGAGCAGTCTGGTCGGGAGCTCTCTGAATTCTTCTCTTATTGCGCAAATCTTCGCGGACAGACGGCACGGACATGTCGGGCACTTCGCGCGCACAGCTGTGCTTCCTCCTGTTGAGCGTCACGGCTCTCCGGGGACACGCGCGCTTTCTGGACATACAGGTGAGATATTCACACCTGCTCACCTCACACACGCACACAATCATTCGAGTACTTCGATAGCTTTATATTTAACTTTTGATGTATCTATTGTGAGCTCTGTGTGTGTTTATTAGTGTTTTGGCTTTAACAGTCATTGTATACAATATATCCTAATGTTGGTATGTTATAACAATGATGATACGTGCAGCTTTTATTGTATCGTTTGTGAGCATATGCACTGCAAAATGTGTTTGTCAGGAAACTTAAAACATTTTAATGAAAAGACATATA